CCAACCATGAAAGCAACCAGTATTTAAGTAAAATTGCAAATATGGTGCTGTCACTGGAATACTACTGCATACACAAAGAATACCTGTAGTAGCTAAGGAGATATGGGCTCTGCTCTTCACTTGTTTCTGAATAATCCTCTGCATTCTCAAGTTAATTTGATTCTCTTCCCTTCCTTCAGTAAAGCTGCCCATTTATTTATAGTTGCCAATGCACCCATTAAACAAAGCAATTATCTCTTTCCATTGGTCCTTCTGGGCAAATCTTACTTACACAACTGTAAAATAAGCCATTCCTGTAACTCCCATCACCTTGCAGCACGTAATCGGCACACCTGCACCAACCACAGACAACATATGAGCTCAAAACACACATAGGATCTTTAAAAACTTCTCCATTTCCTCACAGGCAGGGAAACAAATGATCCCAGTTAGATATGGCTCCCCGAGTCATTAGTTTTAGTGGCCGTTATGAACTGAGGAGGTTTGGGGAGGATGGGAAGTCCAGAGCTGAGGGACATTCTCAGTTTTCTAGAGCGGGAAGTGCAGCTCAAGCACCTCTGCTGGTTGCAGCTGTGCTGATACATTTTGCCTGAGGAGCAGCGGCTGCAGCTCCCACCATCAGCCAGAACAGTCTGCAGTTTAGTAGAGGAAGCATTTCGTACATAAGCTAGCTCTTAAAAGACAGCTGAATTGGGCAACATATTTGTGCAATATTTGATGACTCTGAACATGTACCACAAAGATGATTCTCATAAGCAGAACTGTAGCAAAAGCTGCAATTTAAATGACCAGAAACAACTTATTTACTTTAACTATTTTAGAATGGTAAAGCGGTGTTATGCACATCACCATCCAGCTAAGGAAATGCAGTGTTTAATCCAAAGAGTTTTAATTTCCTGTCAAAATGAGATTCTCTAGAGGACTAACATGATGGGGAAAGGCAGGCCATCAGTGACAGCGTTACAACGTCCTCGTTTCAGGGATGTGCGTGCTTCCTGTGCAAACTACTTTTTATTCTGCAATTTGGAATCTGACTTCATGTCCATCTTCTCTCAGTGCACAGGTACCCTACTGAGATGTGTTTAACACATCCATAGGTAAACACTTCTCAAAGGTTAAGGCTGAGCTTTATGGCAGTTCTACTCCTGGCAATATTAAAATATTTTATCAACGATTATACTACAAGTGGAGGCTTGTGGCCAATCCCAATGCAAAGCCAGCAGCCTCTTTCCTAGAAGAGACTGCCCTGCTGAATCTGAGACTGACGGTATTACTGCCTCAATTATCCATTTCAATTAATGCAAATATAGGCGAGAGTCTTAGAACAGCAGAGTAAGAACTGATCGCTGAATACACAGTCACAAAATATAAGGCTTGACAAAAGAAGTAAAAAAGATTAGATTTAGTCTGTTTCACATATTCTTAAATCAGAGATAGGAAAGAAGATGGGGTATTGTCTTTACAATAATAATTATATTCTATAAAAATATTAGACAAATAATTTCATTAGAATTTTTATTCTTTGGTGTTCTTCCACAAAAAAGTGGAGAAGTGTTTGATTTTGAGCAACTACTGGAGTGCTCAGTACCATCTTACTGACACCTCTATCTTTTCCCAGTAAAAATAATGCAGAGTGCTAGCCTTGAAGAGAAAATGCAGTCTACTGTAATTGTATGAAAGGTAACAGAGGCAAATAAAAATGAAATGACTTGCCCAAGATCACATAGGAAGCCATGGCAGATTTTTTGAACCATGGGAACCTTCTGTGCTTTATCTACGAGAGCCTGTCACTGATAACAAACTTATTAGTTTTTGACTTGAGCTTTTCAATGTAGAGCAGGGATTTTCCTTCAGTCTGGTCAATGCCTCAGTGCCCGTTCATTACACAGATGAGTGTGGGAGCAGATAGGCATTCCCCTGCCGGAACGCTTTGCTATTCCCCATATTTCTGCAGTAAAAGGGAAAGAATTCTGTAGTTCATCCTGAGTAAATAGACGCTGAATTTTATCTTGCTATAATGAACTCCATCTATACCTAACAAATGCTTACTATAGGAAAACTGTAACAGAATATATTTCTTCCATTTTCTATGGTAAGAATTACATTCCTCTACTGAGCCAGCACCACGACTCCTCAAATTCTATTAATGCTGTACCAAATGTGGCAATATGCTCTTTTAGCTTTTAGCCGTGACATCACAGCTTATGACTTCAATCTTTCATCACGAGCATAGATCAACAGAATTCTAACATAAAAACAAAACTTCTGAGACATCTCAGGAAAATTAATTTAAGAGCGGAATCTTATGTGAAATCCACCAGCTACATTTATCTATCTGATGCTGTTAACAGAGTTTTCTGACTGACCATTAACTCTACTCAGCCTAAAGCCACTGAGGGAAGGAAGGAAGAGGCTCAGAGGACATTGGACGAATGGGTAGGAGGATGCGATAGGTGGGATGCCAAAGGAAGCATGGGGGAGAAGGTTGATTCAGGTGAAAGACAGCACGGAAGAGTGGAGAAGTTCAGTAGTCTGGGATGGAGAGGCCTCCTTACGTATCGTGGCTAGAGATGGCAAATCTGCTCTGCAGGGGACCTGGGATGGAGGCCTGCTGTATATACCAAGATACAACCACTTGTAAAAACTCTTTGAAAGATCTTGCTTTCCTGTACCAGAAAAGCAGCGCCAATTTGGAAAGTCTGTCATTCACATACCCGCCAGCAAAAATAACAGTTTATGTTCAGGTCACAATTTGAAGGTTAGCTATACAACCTTAAAGCTAAAGTACTTTGTAAGTAAATAAACAAAAGTTCAACACAACTCAAAAACCAATTCCTCTCTCACTGCTGAATTTTATGTTTGGTGGTGTGCGAGTGTGTGTTCACACACACGAGAACATCACCCACTGAATATGTTTATCAATGGATCCTTCTATGGTTCAGTTCCTTTTCTCACAACTAACATCTTTTTTTCCACCTCTCTTGACCCAGAGTTCATCAGCAGGTCAGTGCTAAGGAAAAAGGTAACAACCAGTATTGAAAGTGTAACCCTGTCTATTGCTTAGATTCTGGGAACTTTAACCTCCGTTTGGAAAGCGTGACTAATAAGATGGAACAAATATTCTCCCAAGAGATGTAAACCATGCGCCAACTTCAAAATACAAAAATGCTTCCATGTTTTTTCTTTTCTTTTTTTTTTTTAAAAGAGGCTTTTTTTTTTTTTTTAATGACTGCATATGTAACATTATGTAGTAGTTAACTGAAGGCCAGAGTACCAAGGCACAGTATGGAATGGTATTTTTCTGAATTCTACTTCAGTTTTTAAAGGAACTGTTGAACATTTTAGGGTTTTTCCTTCTGAGTGATTATTGTTTCTGAAATACCTGTTATGCAGTAACAGGATTAAAAATACATTTGTTAGCATATCAGGATAAATATTGAGCAAAATAATTATTGAAAAGAACATTTAATTTACATTTTTTTCCAAATATGTAATTAACCCCCTAAACGCTAATTCCACAAATGTCTAAATGAACTTTAAGTATGTCATTTCTTTGAAACAAAGGTTAGTTTTTTCACCTGAGCAAGTGATGTTGTTCTCTGTTAACAACTGAGTATTATGAATAATAACTGTTCATACATTGAAGCTTTCATCAGCACCATGATTTTATTGATTTGAAATATTTGGAGCAGACCTGCATTCAAGCACTGCTGGTTGGCAAGTTTAAGAGTGTGTAGCAATAACATCTGTGGTGTTATTTGCTGCTTACTTTCCTTTTCTTAACTTTAGTTTTGCTTTATTCAATAGTAGTATTAGAAGCTTGCAGCTTTTGCTAGTGTAAGGTTGAGAGCTATCCAAATCACTGGACACTGAATTGCCCACGGTATTTTGTCTGTCTAGAGCATTGATTAATAATTTCTCATAGAGTGGTTTTACAAACTGGTAGAGTTGACAGAATGATGTTTGCAGTTACCATACCGCCAACAAGCTTCAAACAAGATCAAAACCCCATTCTGACAGATGACAGATCACTGGGGGTATTAAAATTTGAGCAAACAAAAACTGTAGGAAGAAAGAATTACTGTCTCTATTTTATAGATATGGAACCAAGAAAGATAAAAAGAATAGTTTGTTGAAGGCTACCTGATCTTCAAGAACTTGTGAATGAGTCCTTCTTCTTCTAAAGAGAATATTCCTTTCTGGCAGAATCAGAGGGGAGACTGTTCTCTGCGTCAACTAGAGCTCATCCTTCCTGCTGTAACTGTAATTGTGCTTTTCAGAGATGGCAGCACTCTATTCCAAACTCAAATTGCTGCTTTAAAATTCTTTTGAGGCATGCAGCTGTGCATGTGATCGCTTGTTACGAGTACTCTCCATGGTCAGTTTAGTTTCTGTGGGTTGTGACCGCAGTGCAACTGTGAAAGTCACAAGCCTCCAGACTGAGTTTAAAATCTGTGTTTAAAAGCGTGCTCTCTGACTCCATGATAATTGGGAAATAGAAGACATACCTTTTCACAAGCTAGAGAAAAACCCTGTATCTGGTCCCAAATCACATTTCAAAACATGTTTTATTTATGCTTGGCAGTGACTACAGTGCTTTTGGGTGCTATAAAAATAAAAGTACCCATGGGAGGCAGGTTCTTTGGGGTCATAATAATCTGCAGGGAATGCACCCATGCAGGAATGACTTATGTGCAACATTCCATGATACAGAGATAGAAAGCTGTTGCATATGAAAGAAGATGCAAGCCTGATGGCAACAGATACTTCCAACCAGAGTACCACAGTCTTCTACCATAAGTTTATTTACCTCCAGTTCTGTAAAGTGGGCATCTTTATGGGCATCTGGTTCCTCCCTAAACAAAGTGGTATCATACTGTGTGGTACCAGTTCTCCACAAGACTGGAAGAAATCTTCAGATTTTTCTATATTCAAAATATTACAACACACTAACAATAAATAGTTAAACAAGAGTTAAATATTGAAATGCCTTACTATACCTGACATATTCTAATTGCTTGGTCCAGCACTGTCTTTGTATCAGTTGCATAATCTGGACAAGGCAGCATGGTATGACTGAAGTGGGCTTGCAGCAGGAGGTGTGTTTTCGTGTGTGAACTGTCAAATGAGTGGGGATTGACTTCAATTGGAAGATGTTTTGCCAGTTCACTGTTCATCTGATCTTCATTGTGTCTCACAGGCAGATCTGTGTACTCCTCAGCATTCTTTAAAAAAAAAAATAATAAAAATTAACCATTGTAATTAACTTCAGCATAATTATTATTTCTTATTGAGACATTAAAAGTATATGCATTTAATTTACTACAGTTAGATGTCATTGTTAAAATAGCAGCATTTTAATGTTTAGAAAGCGTACTTATTTCTCAAAATCATGTGTGTGGGAAAACAGTAGCTAGTAAAATATTCACAAATATTCACACGATTATGGGTTTTAATTTTTTTTTCACATAGCTGATTTTAACATTAGAGAAGAGGAAAATAAAAGCAGCGAAATAAATACATTAACTGGATGGACTCAGTATTTGAGATGACCTTCTACAGATATCCTACCCTGATTGGCTCACAAAGACATTGTAAGGTTAGCTATAAAGAAGTCAATAATTCACATTTCCAGTTTTCAGGGTTTCTACTTGTCTCACTGTACTCAAAACACAGCGGGTTTCAAATAGCTCTGGTAAGGTTCTTTTAAAGTATACTTTCAATATTTTGAGCAGTCAGTGTCTAAGCACAATCAGCAATCAAAGCAAAGAGCAAAATTGTAAGTAGGTGCTGAAAACTATCCTCTGTGCTCCAGAGTGGGACTAATATCATTCATGCCAAAATGCAAGCTAAGAACTTTCTCACTGTTGCAAAAAGGAGCTGCACACCAACAGGCAATCTAAATGTAGTTATGAACAGCTACAGCCTTGGGGCTGAGAGAAACTCAAGTATGACTGTTCTAGTAGCCAGAGCAAAGATGTTCATTCTCCTGCTAGGGAATTCCACTGCCTCCAAAAGAAAGAAGATTCAACAGAAGCATCCTAAGAACTATAATTTAAGCTGAAGAGTCAGTTCTGTGACTTAGTTGGTCATTTTTTTTCCTCCACAAAATCCTCTTGTGCATGTATGCGTACATATTCTTGTTTGGAATGAGAATCATCTTTCTAAAGTACAAAATTTGGAAGTAAAGTAAGAGTTTTATAACATGTGATATCTTTTCCATCTGTAATTTAAGAGAGTGTATTTCTGTTGTCATAAAATAAAAAATCATTTGGGCAGCCCGAAGGACAATGTCTTCTGAACTATGGGCTTAGCAGAGACCATTAAATTAAAGTGTTCAGGGTTTTATATCCCTCTTAAACTATAGATTTGATATTATGCATTTTAGTCTTCAATCTCCAGTCAGACTTCCTGCAAATCCATATTAATGAAATATTCACAACAGTAACCAATGCAGAGTGAGGTAAAGAAAAATGGCAATTTTAGAACACCTAATAGAACTACCTAATTGACTTGCAAAGTACTGTATCCACTCATTAATATCCCAACACACAGAACCTTTTTTGACAATTCCTAAACCCAGCTGTTTTTCACCCCCTTGAAAACTGACAGCACAAAATTTTCTATTTTCTTTAATGGCACAATGAAACTACACCTAAACTGTGATCTAAATGTAAAAGGAAAGGTAAGTATTAGACAATTTAAGATTTGGAAGGAAAATCAGAATGTCATTAATTTATTTTATATCTCAACTGCAGATTAGAAGTGAAGACTGACTAAAGACAACTGCTGCTTAATCCTGGATGTCTCTGCTAGATCTCTTGTGAAAACTGTGGTCATTTATTCTCTGAACCTAAGGTCACAATCTTTTTAAGCCCTATAGAAGGCTGCATGTTTGCTTCACTCTTTTTATTTAACTGGCTTCTCCTTCAAAGATATTTTAAAGAATATTTACCAAGGAGATTTTTTACTTAGTTTTGCTTTGCAGTTTAAAGTAGCAGAAAGAAGAAGGATCAGACAAGTCACTCCAGACCAATTGGTACTACTGAAAATGCGTTTTCCTAATTCTTCCCCAGCACATGTTTTATTTACCTCCAAAACACTCCTCTTATTTTAAACAACTTGCCTACTTAATTTCCTGTTTGTGATCATTGACTGTAAGTAAGTGAGGTTCATTTTCTTATCTGCATCATGTAGGTAATTAAAGGAAATTGAGAATGGGTAGTGAAGCTTTTATACAACTGAGAATGAAGCTGAATGGAGGGCACCGAGGTCAGCAGAGTCCATTATATTTTTATGTGAGAGGCCAGTATGTCTGCCCTGTCCTTGTTTGCTTAGTGTAGGCTGGACAGACTACTAACTGCAAATCTGTTTCTCTGATTTGCCCAGCTGTCCTTGAATAAAGACATCTTCCATTGCAAAATGTTAAATGACAGTGATTGACACCTCTGTGATGAACTCTGCTTGTAACCCCCTGCTACTGTTTTCAGGTTGCACAAAAAAAGACAGAATAAAGAAACATCCTTTGTAATCACCTCAAATGGGCCCTGCTGTTCACTCAATATTTTTTCATTTTAGTTTTCCTTTTCATTGTGAATCTCAATCTGTTCTGCAAAGGCTACAGCTTCAACTATTCCACATATATATTTTATATATATAATGTATATTATTTTAGTACATTGTATCTGAATACTGTTCTTACTTCCATGGGTGAGGAAACGGGTCGAGTTACGTATCAATCATTAATCTTCATTCTAAAGTCAAGAAACTTAATACAAACTTTATAGTTAAACCACAAAGCACTGCTGTGCATTTTTCACTTTCCCTTTTTCTTCTGTTAAATCAGGACTATTGCAGCCCATGTGCAAATAATATGTTTACAAGCACCTACACAGTTAAGCATAACTTGGAGTATATGAGGAGATAACTAGGAATTTTAGCTATGGGTTTTGCGATCAGGCATTTGGTAGTCACGTCACATCTTTCTTTTCCATCAGTCTGTGATGGACTTTCCCAATAATGGCTTCTTTTGGGCATTAGAGACTGCTGCATCATTTTGAGGGTGTAAGAGTCCTCTCAACCCTACATTTCAACCTGCATGTGATGCAGGGTCATATAGGAGACAGTAACTTGCTTTGCCAGTGAGAAATATCACATGTAGACCTGCATAAACTTGATAGTTACATTTTACGAGGCCAAAGGGCTATTCTGATAATTGAATTCTGTTTCCTGCACAACGCCAGCCACAGAATCATCTTAAGAGTCCTGCCTGCAACATTGTGTTCCAGATATGCAGCTTATCATCACCCTTCTTCATTTATACGGTTAGAATTGTTCTAAAAGTAAACAACTCATGCCATTTAAAAATATATCTTTTGCAGTTTTCTGGTACTACGAAGCATTTAAGGAGTCAGACTGAACTAAAATTTAAATAAGGTATCCAACGTGGTGACTACCCTGCTCCGCAGTGCCCATAGGGTTAAAAAAAATTCGGATTTTCTTTCTGCCCACAAAATGCGTAAGTTTGGCTGAAATCACTGATTTACGGTGAAAGCTGAACTATAAACTTATACCACATGTAAACCTTCTGAAATATTTTAAAGCTCAAGTAACTACATCTTGCTGCCTGTATACAGGTGAGAAGAGGATACTTGTGGAGCACAGACAGAAATGGGATCAAGGTGAGCAACTAAAGTAAACTTGAATATTTTAAGTTAAGTTCAGTCATGGGAACAGTAAAACTTATAAAGTTAATGAGTTCTAGACTTTAAAGAGCAGTTGATTAATTTGTAACAATGAGGGTCTAAAACAAACCAAAAATAGTTTCTCACATTCCAGAGTTGAAGCAGTAGTCTTTTCTTTAGCGATGCTGTTATTGAAACTACCTTAGAATTGACTGACTGCCTGTATGTTCCTTTTCTTTACATAGGTACAGTGAACCCAAACACACCATATTTTCAACTTTAATAAACCTGCAACGTGTTTTGCTCTCTTTCAAGTTTCTGATGTAGAAAGAAACAATGGAAAAGCATTCTTAAAAAATTTGATAACAAAATTAGCAGTCGTTAAACTAAAGTATTAAAAAAACCTTGCAGTAAGCTAGTACTAAATCTAACTACCAGAATAATAAAAAAGGAGAAAAGATGAGGATCATTTTTAGCTAATATAGTAATCACATCCTCTTTACCTGAACCCTGGTTTAAATTACATAAACCTCTGGTAGAAGGACTGCAAAAATCGTACCTTTGTGCATAGAATGAAAAATAAAAACCAAGCTGCAATAAACAAATGTGGGGTTTTTTTTACAGCTGTCCTGCAATTAACACTAGTAAGACATTATGAAGTGAATTTTACTCCTCTTTTATCAGAAGTTCAAAGGTGTGCCAATAGGCAATTTATTTTTCCAAGTGAAACCAGCATATTTCGGTCTTTAAGTAACTGGATAGGCAAATATAAGATCAATGATATTATTATTATTATTCTTCTGTAATTGGCTTTTGTCTTTTGTTCCATTGTACAAAGTGCTACAGAGTATTTTAGTGCAACATCCTGACCTCTCACTTCCCCATAGTGCTACAGTGTATAGGAAGCGGCTAGACTCCAGTGTTTCAAGCAGTCTGTAACTATCCTCATCTGGGTGATACCCATGTTACCCTCAGTATAACACAGAGAAAAGTAGCGTGGTCAAAACAGAGAAAGAACAAGCACTGATAGTTTGTGAGTGCCTAGGTAACTGGATAATAATGGCTTATAATAGATTCACAAACTCTAAATGTTTCTTTGAGGATACTTGAACTTCTGTACTTAAAAACATTTGAAATTATTTCCATTTAATATCTATATCTCTCCATTCATATGCTGACAAAAGTCTCATTTGACCTTGTTAACTGTATTATATGGAAAATTAATAAAAAAATCACGTGACTAAAGTTCCCAAGTTAATCTTCATTTGCCCATGCTCTTCCCAAGAGCATATTATGTGACACAAGTATATATTATGAAAATTATTTAAATTAACCAACATATTTATGCTATATTTTATCTTCACATTTTCAAGTGTGAGTTTGATTTGTAAGGAAACACATTAAATTTACACAGATGTATTCTGGCAGGCAGCTGGAACACAATCAAACTTAGATTTATATTCAGAAAACAAATAAATGTGAGTAAACATGTGCTTTTTAAAAAAAAAAGACAAAAAAGAAAAAAAGCCCAAACTGACCAC